TGTTGCTGCAACATGATGCCACAGCTAAGTGCTGTGGTGTGTGGCTGGACTCTGTCTATATACTGTATAATCCACAGTCAGACAAAACAGAATAAACAATTTAGTTTTAAACCGGATTAGGTCACATTCTGAGTGCAATCTTTTCAGGCTGTCTGGGAAAGTGACTGGCTGAGATCAAGTGACATCTTAATTACTGTATTTACTCAAGATAAAGGAAAGAATGAAAGACTGAAAATGTCATCTAAAGTATCTCCTCTAGAGAATGCCAAAACCACGTGTCTGGTTATGCTTGTCACAGTCCAGTAGGACTGGACTGGTTTGTCTTTAATGATTATTCTTACTCACTGATTTAAAATGTTTTGACACTCTGGGAAAAAAAAAACACAACAGACTAATTTGTGAGATGTTTCTAAGGTGGAAAACACCAGACAGCTGATTTAATCAGTTGATTTTTCCTTTCAGAATAGTAGTTATGTGCAAACAAAGCTGCAGAGATTAGGTTGGTGCAGTGAACCTGGCATAAATTCTAGGCTATGATGCTTTAGTCTCAGTAATAGTATATGGCAAGCAAGTGGAGAGACAAAGATTAGGTTTTGGGTGGAAGGGATGACCTATGATTTACTATAAGAACAATACTTCACTTAGAAATTTAAGACATGGGTGGAGTCATTTACCTGTGACTCTCGGCTTTGAGCTTTAAATCTATAGTTGTTTCCATGTTTGCTCAGAGCTTGTACATGCTCTATCATGTATAGTACAACAGAGACTCCAGCATATGGCTCACAATGATTATGTTTCACTGTCCCACAGGCTGAAGCTTCCACTAAGAATCTGACCCAGAGTGCTGACAAATCACTGCTGACCCAACCCACAACTAGCCAGCAGACTCCGCTGTTTCAACCAGTGCTTCCAGACGTCCCAGTCATCACCGGAGTGGAGGAGAGCACAGGTGCAACTGGAGACCAAGATGACAAAGAGGAGCTTGAGTTTCCTCATGACCTGCTGCCCAGTCTAGACTTCAGCAGTGAGTTCAACATCTGGGAATCCTCACTAGGGTAAGCTCAGGGCTACACAAAGGTGCGCACACATGTGCACACATGCATACACAATAGTGCAGATAATAATTACTACACTTTTTCTCATAATGTTAAGATAAAACTGTGACTTGATATCACATGAGGAAGAGAGACAAGTTATTGTTTGGCTTTTGGTGGCTGTTACAGTTCTGAGAACATGTGATTGATACAGTTGATAGAATTTCTTGTCTACTTCATTTAAAAAATGGTGGGTCAAGTAAAACCAGCGTGTAGGATTCTCTGCATAAGATGCACAATAAATTTGGTGTCACTGTGTTGCATAACTAGTTTCAAAGGCCTTGAAAACCTATTTTTTCAATTATTTTCTGGGGTTCTTCATGTACCTACACCAGTTTTCTGCCACAATCAGAACAGTTCTGGATACTTCACATAAAGGATATCTATATTTACATTTTGTCCTTTGCTTTTCTGATTACTTTAAAGTGGGTAGAACTCAGTAGGTGATGCAAACTTCTGTGCATCAATCAGAATTAAGCAATATTTGGATTAAATTGAGATGTTTTTTTATGCTGATACCACTGTCAATCAATCCACACCCACCCAGTCTTCATGAAGCAGATCAGCTAACTTTATAGAGTGTTAAATGCTTAATACCGAACAATAATAAGGTTTTCCTCAGAAATTGTCTGTTTTGTAAAATGTCAGAAAAACTAAAGATTTGAACCCAGGGGTTTTGAATTGCAGAATAAAAAATATGCCCAATGTTTCAATTCACAAACAATCAATATATTTATTATCTACACCTTTTCGTTCCTGTTGAGGCCCATGAGAGGACTGGAGCTTATCCCAGCATGCACTGGGTAAGACACAGAATGTCCCTGAACAGGTCACCAATAAGCTGTAGAAAATAACACAGAGACATACAGTATGACTGTAGCTTGTGTTTCAACTGGTGTAGCTTAACTTTGATCAACTGTGTGCAAACACTGTAGTATTCTTTAAAACATTCTATTATACTTAATGTTTATATTACAAACTTGGTTATTTTTCAAGATAGAAAATTGTGTAATAATGAGATAGAGTACACCAACCTTGATGGGACATTAGTTAAAGCATTACTGTGTAATAAAGTATTGTATACAGTATTAAATTAGCTGTCTGTAGATCTGCTTGTAGTAGATCTATGTAGTAGATCTGTGCCAATAAATCAGTCAAGGTGAAAATTAATCTGATACTGATTTGTTGCATTTATAAATGTGTGTCCATGTGTCTGTATATGGTGTGGGCTTGTGTTTGCAGAGCTCAGACTAGCTCAGGTGAAAGGAAATGTGAGCAGATGAACCCTCTGCTGGCGGGCCTGCAGCATCACACGGACGTTAGTCGACCTCTGGTGGTCCTCGATACATGGTACCACATAGACTTAGCATGAAGGGGGAGAACGGGGCATCTGCTGTGGGAGTGTCGTCAGCAGTAGAGAGCTTGATAAAGAGTAAAACCAGGGAGCATGGAGTGGAACGGAAACATAAAAGGATGACTATTTTTAACTCGCACTTGAGTCTCATATTGTGGTTTGGGTGTGGGCTGTATAAGTAGACATGGTTTGAGGTGTGGATGTTTGTTTTGTTTCATGCTTGGGTGAATTATCTGACTGACTTCATGCTCTGCTTCAAGTGTTGCCTAGCGTTCTGCTTTTGTCTTATCAATGACTTTAATTGCACTAATTTATCTAAGTCCTAAATGTGTTCTGACAGTACAGCTATTATGGCTTTATACGAATATGTAAAAGTGTGAATTTAAACAAGCAGTGTGAAAATTTTCCCTGAATAAGTTAAATATCTCTGTCTGAGATGAAATAAAACCTATATTCCTGCTTTTAAAGCCAAACACTGCAGAGTAAGAGGACAAACACAGGCTTAACATATAATACTGCAGAAACACCTGGTTTTAAATGGCAGGCAGCAGCTTGTTGCACAGCAGAACTTGACAGCTGCATAAGTTAAATCTGTTTTGCTGTTCCACCCTTTAGTAGGACGTGCCAATTGACTATGACACACGCTTGAGCGGCTGGTCGGTAGGGTGGGTGAGTAACATGTTGTTAGGGCACAGGTTGTGACAGAGCTAATCACATGAGACTGTATTAACCAATCACTCACAATGATGCTTAAAAAGTTATGTAATTTCTCACTTTACCTATTTAAATCTAGGCGTGAATACTGAGTCTCGTTATAGACATTGTTACATGTTTTACAAAAACAGATTTCTACACATCAGCTGGTGACTTGAATAGGAGTGCATATAATTTTATATCTAAATAACTATAGTGGATTTATACAGTTTATGGGGCTTAAAGATGAGGACTATCTACACCATTGTCCTGTTAATGGCTTAGCAGTGACTCAGCAAATACAACTGAATAGCACAAAGCCAGCCTGTTACAGGCATTATTCTACATGCTCTAATATCATAATGCTGACCGTGTACCCTAGGGAATGTTTTACAGAGTCACTGCTCTGATAGGTTTATCTGTTTATGTAATTTATTGTCATCAATTTTTTTTCTTAAGGGAATAATAATAATAAGGCTGAAAGTAGCGACATAACAGTTACAGCTTAGTAATATCTTTTAAATAAAAATAATGTATAGTACTACTCAGTATGATCACAGTACACAAGAGCCTAACTGGAATAAAAGCTTTTTATAGTGGTTACTATTGTACAGTATGTAAAGGATGCTGCAATGCTTAGTATCTGTGTTGTCACGTTCATGCTGACAGTACTAGGTTTATACTCAAGTTAGCATGAAGAATGTAAGGCCTAATTTACATAGTTCAGTTAGAAGATCAGGCATATTTTTATTTGAAGGCATGTGTCGTGTGTGGTGTCTGCATAGCGTAAAGTGTGGTGTCTTGAGCATGGGCTTCTGCTCTGCCAGTAGCAGCGTTCTGTGGCATTATGGATTGACCAGCTGTCTGCATGCCAATCCTGCAGACTCTTAACTCTGTCACCCTACCCTCATCTCAGGCCTCATGACAGTGACCCAGTTCTCACAGAAGCCCAACCTACTGCCACGCCTTTTCTGGTTGTACGACCTCTGACCCCTCCCCCATCAGTGCTCCAAGACCGGGAGCTCCAAGAGGTCTTCCAGGAATGTGAAGAGCAAATGGTCTCAATGGGCATATTTAATCCTGTGAAGGCCCCTAGTAATATACCTGAGACAGTTAATGATGTAGGAACGAAAACTGGAAAAGGGATGGTTAACAAGTCCAATGAGTCATCGTCACTGCTTCCAATCACTGTCCAGCCAGGACATAGCAACGGGGGCCATGGAAACAAGACTACACAGAGAAACAGTGAGGCAGCAAACAGGCAGAAGGATACAGTTCAGTTTAGTTTCAGAAATTACATACTGGGTACTGAGGATAGTGTAGTAGAGGGGAGTGAAATAAATGCAACACAGAGGCTGGATGAATGTCCAGAGATTAAGCCAAGAAAAGAACCAGAACAGAAAGAAACACCCACACATACACAGTTAGAAACGGCAACAAATACAGATTCATATGAAGAAAGCCCAAACTGTGCTGTCAGTGAGCAGAGAGAGGATCTAAGAGGGGAATATGATGTTTCTAATGCAAACATTGAGGAAAATGAAACACTGGAGTGTTTTAATCTTAATTTTAAGGATAAAGATGCATTAACAGAGCTGCAGTCAGAAGCACAGACAGGAACATGCACAGAGGAGCTTCAGTCAGAGTCAAAAACGGACAAACAGATGGATTCAGCCTGTGGCAGGCATGCTGGGCAGGACAAAGAGGCAAAGGACAGAGAAAAAAAGAAACAAGTGGAGAAGAGCACAGAGACTGAACAGAAAGACAAACAGGAAGCAAAGGCAGTAGTACAGTCTGAAAATGATGTACAGGCAAATGCTGAATCTGTGTCAGAAGCAGACACTCAGGTTGTAATTTGTGGGAAACAGCGTGATATTGGGTGTGATTACAAGGAGCGGCTGAGTCCCAGGGGAAAGCCCACCTCCAGTCCTCCATTGTCATTCTCTCACAGTGTGCAGGATCATCTTACTGACTCTGCCTATTCATCTGCAGCCAACCAAAGTCTTTTACAAAGGTGTCATCAGTCAGCCCCATATGGTATGAATCACAGCTCAGATGAAAGCCCACAGTGGAAGCAACAGGCAACTGAAGGTGTCACTGGAAACCAAAATACGCCCCCGGCATTTGTCCAAACTACAGTTATCAATCCAGCTGCTTCCATTGATAAGAGATCAGATGCGCAAACACAGGAGGCTATAGTTTCCACAGAAGCAGCGATACTCACACAGGAGAATCTGAGCCCACTCACCAACAGCCAAACTGGTGTGGGAGAGAGTTGCATGGAGAGTGCCCTTAAAGAGCCTTTAATGGTGGTTGCTGCGTTGCCGCTGACAACACCCACTATGCCAGAAGTGATAAAAAGCAGGAGAGAGGGAGGAAGCGTGAGGCATGATTCACTGGAGAGAGTAGCTATTGTAGGAATCGCAGAGAGTGAGAAAGCAGTAGGAGAAAACGATTTGGGAGGAACAGACAAGTGCCTCGGCTCTGCAGACAGCGAGAGGGGAGGACTCCTGGACAGCCTTCCTCAGTTCTCATTAATCTGTCCACTTGCTTCCTCAGCCACAGAAGGACAGGCAGCATTCGAAGAAAGCTGCAGCAGCAAAATGCCACACAACTCGGCTGAGACTGAAATGAAGGGACAGAGAGAAACAGCCATTTGCAGACCAGACACAGAGCTCTCACCAGCTGAGGAGGGAGACGGAGAAAAGGAGCCACTCCCATCAGAAGCCTGTATCAATACTTCTCCCCTTGGGCTACTCATTGGTCCTGATTGTCAGAATCACAGTGCTGCGGGATTGGAGCGGGCGGGGGAGGAGGTGGGAGAGAAAGGAAGGCTAGCTAGAGAGCACGGTTCACTCAGCCAGCCAGAAGGCTCCACTAGTGGAGTGTCATCAGCTGAGACAGAGACGTGTCCGCCCACCGATGTTGCAGAGTCACAGCTAAAGTCACAGAGCTGGAGTGAGCTGAATTCTACCATCACTCAGAGCATCTGCACTGAACAGGACCATCTCTCTTACTTCTACCAGGAGCAGCATCGCACAGTAATTTCACCTCTCCCCACACACCCTGAGCAGGGCTCCAGCGACACAAACGGAGGGGTAAGGTCTGATCTCAAACAGAATTTGATTTCAGAGGAAGCGCTGTCTTTGGGACACACTTGTGAGGAGTCATCTATTGCAGAAGCAGACAGAAACAACGACCAAGTCTTCCTGTCTTTAATCTCACCGCAGCCTTTGACTGCTTCACAACAAATCCCAGCTGAGCAACAAGCAAGCAACAATCAACAGATCCAGCCCGAAAGTAGCTCATCAGAAGCCAGGACAGCCGAAAGTGCAACTGAATTCCAAGTTCAAGCTCTGACCGAGAGCAATAGCAGTAGCTCTGCTATGTCTGGAGTAGGCGTGTATGTATGTGAACGCAGTGAAGGCAACAGGGTTCACTTTGCGGACAACGTGAAACAAGAGGCCGGTTCCTCTGTGGATCTCAGGAACAAGTCAATGTCGGCTATGGATAACGCCTCTTTGCCTCCACTAACCATACATGAGAGTTTGTATAATCCTGTCGTTGAGGCCAGTTACATCTTTCCAGAATTCCTCACCTTGAAGAGGCCAGAAATCCCTACAAATGCAGCTCCTACAAAGGATGAACCAGCAATACAGAGCTCAGCTGACTTTCCAAAGACACAGAAAGATGTTGTGTTGGATGAAGGCAATGTGGAGACTAAAGACACCAAGGAGAACGTTGCCAGAGATCAGTCAGCAAACAACAACTTGGTGACAAGCGCTTCGGATTTAGAGTCGGTGTCTGAGACCTGCATGAAAGAGCTTCCGTGTCCCACAGAGAAGAATCAAACTGGTAATAAAGAATGTTTTGAAATTTTACAAACAGCAGGAAGTGCCACTCCTGAGCCTGATCATCTAACAGCTGAGCAGGTGTCAGAAAAGGCGACAAAGCAAGAAGAAGCAGATACAGAGAAGGGCCCTATAAATCAATGTTTGCCAAAGGATACAGAGCTAGATAAGTTGCATGCTGAGTCTAAATGCTCAGTCAAAACTGGCCAGGCTCAGAAGCCACTTTTATTAAGTGATACTGCTGCCACTGTTGAAGAAAAAGAAGGTAACCAGAAACCTCTTTCCTCACATTCTGTGCTTCCAGCTAATTATACCTGCAAGCCTTTAAGTGATGTATCCACTGAATTGCCTGTTGGACATCTCTCTAGTGACCCTGACTCCAATTCACAACCAGATACTGTGACCGTGGCCTGCGCAGCCTCTCTTCAGGTACAGCCTAGTGACCCCAGTTATCAGCCTCTCATCCAATTAGATCAAACATCTGCTTGTGGACCCGTTACCGCAGATCCGATGAAAGCTAGTGAGGAGCCTAAGGCTACAGTTCACTCTGCTGATCTGACAATGGATGAATCAGTGACTTCAGAAGTGACAGCCTCTGACCAGTCAATTCCTATTATAGAGCAATGTCCCAGTAATCCTACTTTAGTGCTGCAGCCTCCTGGCCCAATGTTGAGTCACTTGGAGTTTATTACTGACTGCATCTCGCTTCCTGAGCAGGCAGATAAGCACACTGCTTATGGTGACAGCAGGAGCAAAGTCTCCGCAGAGGTGGATGACACCAAGAGCAAGGAAATGTCTTTAGTACAGGATCTGGAGAACAATGTCAGTTTCAAAGCCAGTGAGACCTGCCTGAAACTGGAAGATAGAAATGATGCTATGGAGTTTGTCAGCGAACTTGAGAAACCTATGAATAATCATGCAAATATTCTATTTTCACAAGAGCAAAATGTGCCTCTTCCAACCCAGCCTCCTGGCACAGTGGATGTAGTGGCAATGGATGAGCCTGCTAATGTAGTTCCTTTATCTCAAAGTGAGCCAGACTCTATTGACATTAAATCTGTTATTTGGGAAGCATCCATTAGGGAAGACCTCATAAATGTTAGCTGTCCACTGAGCTCTGACCCACCTATTATTGAAGCTTATGATGAAATTAAACAGGACAATTTGAAAGAGAAACACAACATGGGCCATCAGGTTTCCTTTGAAGAAGAAAAGAAACACAATGTAGAGGCAATAATGGATAATCAAAGGGAAACAGAAGACAGTTGTGAACTGCAGACAGGAAAGGCAGACACAAGACCACAACAGAGTAAAGGACCAGATAAAAAAGCTGTAGATGAAAACGGAGACCTACAACCACCAGATAAACATAAAGTGCAAATGTCTACATTACCTATAAGAGATATGAAAGAAGAAGAGGAAAGGAACAGTAGTATTGTATCTAAAATCCAAACTCTGACAGCAGCACTGGAGCACAGCTCTGACAGGGACATGGAACCAGCTTTGACTGCAGAGCTTGGCCAGTTACAGTCCACTAAGCAACAGGAGCAAGAGCAGCAGCATCAGGGATCTAGTGGGCTAGAGAGGGAGCAAATTACTCTTAGCCAGGTCAGAGAGACCACAGCCATTGTTCCAGGGCTGAAAGGGGTGGCAGAAAAAGGAAGCGGCTTTGCTGGGAGTTCATGTCAGTCAGGAAGTAGGAATGAGCTGAGAGGTGATGACAGCAAAAGAAATGAACAAGTGATGGGTTTAGAAAAAGATGAGGGAGACAGAGCACATGCAGTATTAGGGATTGACCGGGTTTATGTACCTCCTCACATTGCAAATGATTTAAATGGGAGCGGAAGGGCTGCTGAGGGAAACGCCTCAGCTAACATAGGGCTAGTAACAGCTTGCTCTCATGTAGGAGAAACAAGACAAGGTAGTGAGGTTAAAATCCCTGGGTTAGGAGAGCTTTGGTCGGATACAGACTTAATCTCAGGCACTGAGTTTGGAAGTGATCTGGGTGGTGAATGTCAGTCAGCTGCTGTATATGTGGAGTCTGCAACACAGGAACATCAGACCACAAAAAAATTCACTACTCTGCCAGATCCTGTTGGGAAACCAGAAGCTGTGGAAAAGGCCCTCAGTGTTGCTACGGCAGTGAAAAGGAGCAGTAATGAAACTGAGGAGTGTGAAATTGACAATACAGTGTGTGAGCCTTTTGAGCTCCAAAGCTCCAATAAAACCTCACCCACACAGAGCAGCAGCCCAGTAATACAAACATCCATAAAAGGCCCCGATGTAGAAGAGATCACAAAGGAAGATAAAGCAGCTTTGGACAAAGAGAAAGCTACCAATCAGGGCAAGGGACAACATGAGATAAAAGAGAGAGACACTGAAGCAATGGTAAAACAGGGAGTCCTAAATCCAGCTGGGAGTGTTCCGGATCTCTGTGACAGTGGGATGTCACAGACTACTGTTTGTGACTCTGAGGGCAGCACTTGTCTTTCTAAGGCAACAGAACATAACAATGATCGAACAGATAAAATAACTTTTGATGTTATCACAGCTCCATGTGTTCCTAAGTGCTCGGAAGATTTAGCGTTGACCCCTCTTGCAGCCCCCACCCAGTCAGAGAAGCTACATGAACAGGTGTTACTGTCAAAGCCCCTAGAAGATATTGTGGTAAACCTCATTGCTGCTGCTTCCCAGTGTGAAGGGGAGCCACTTGAAACAACCCCTGCCTACACCTCTGCTATTGAACAAGAGTCTGTGAATACAGGGGCTTCAGATGTGTCAGGGCATCCTGCTCCTGCACTAACAGCCCAAGAACCAGATACAACCTGGATTAAAGCTTTAAAAGAAGCTGCAGCGCATTCCCAGAGTGAACAAGTGAACACAGTGGAGACCTCAAGGTAAACACAAGAGCATGCATTTGAAATTATTACAAGCAGACGGACTTAAGAATTACTGCAGATTAGAGGAGCACACGCGACCACTTTGCTAAAAAATATGTAAATGGAAAATAAGTGGCGTGCTTGTGTTTAAAAGGTCAGTGGAGGCTATCGTGACACCCCCCCCAATGTATTTTACAAAGTATGTTAGCATGCTACCACTACTAAAGAATAAAGAATTGGGTAGATGAGTATCTTCACTTATATTAATATTTGCATGCGTTGTAAATCGGTAATGTTCAGCACTACTAGATTTCTGAGGTTTATTTCAGCACGGCATTCCAGTAACACCATGTTCAGGGCTTGTTTGCAGTGAAGGGGGCAGTGTGACAATGAATATGAATGAGGAAGTAAACACAGAGCTGCATTTTGTCTTGACTTGAGCTCGGGTCAGATGACTGTGTCTACTGAAATCTAATGGAAGTAATGTAGCCCTTTATAATCAAAAGATGACATCAGCTGTGACATCGTTCCTGATCCCCAGGACAAGAATGAGCCTTTTCTCACCCAGAACACACTGCTCAGCACAGTGCAACAACAATAAAACACACACACGTACCTACAGTACTTCTACGTACTTCTACACACACACACACACACACACACACACACACACACACACACACACACACACAC